TGCACTGTCACACTGCAGGGGCACATATTTTCTTCAAATTATAGTTTTGATGCAGTTCCGCTGTTACCTATAATTTGAAGAAAATGTGCTTTTGATCTGCTTTTGAAGAGAAATGACACAAATATGTCAAATTATTGCATTGGAATTTCAATATTACAGAATTACCACGAAAATGTTCAAAAGTGAACAAAATCGGACAAGCCTAGGGCACACCGTCTATCTATCTTATGTATAAGTTTAATGCTTTTGGCAATGTTTGTTTAATGCATCTAAATATCATGTCGATGGATTACATATGGGCCCCTCTCTGTGTGTGGTTTGATTTTAATGGTTATCCTTCGATATGATGCCAAAATATGCAGTTGCAATTCGGTAGTGTGTTGTTCTGTTGTTACATTAATAATTTCCGTATACAAAATGAATGAAATGCGTTGTGTTTTTTTTGCGTTCATTGTAATTGAAATTCGATGCACGAAATGTTTTCCTTTATGAGCCTTAAAAATCAAACACAATCATATCGAATTATATCAATAAAATTGCACCAAATTGGTGGCTTTTGAGTGTGATATATTCAGCTGTACGTAAGCGTTCGACAGCAATACGCCCAAATGTATACTAATCGAATTTCGCTCTGTGAACTTATTCATTTATCAATTTTCGATGTAGATCAAATTGATGTCAAATGTGTAAATACCTCATGCGTGCTTATGTTTCGTTATTGGCAATTTATCGATATATCATTGCCCAAATTCTAATCAGGAAATGTATAGCATAATTTTGGTTTTTTTGCGTCGATGACAACGCATCCTACAATCAAATCAAAAATACACATCATCTCATGAAATGGGCACATGTTATGCGTATTCAGCACGGTTTCTAGTTCATACGTTGGATATAAAAATAAAAGGAATTGAAATTTAATGTTGCAAATAAAACCGGTGGACAATAAAAAAAAGTGTGAGAGATAGAAACGAAATCGAAATCCGACACGGCTCAAATGAAAATGAAGTCGGTTTCGAATGAAAATGGGCGAATGAACAGCGATCAACAACAAAAAAACCGTCGAATAGAGCCAACAACATGCACTGAATCAATGAAGAAGAAGCAGAGAAAAATAAAATAAAACAAAAGCCCAAAGCAAGTCTGTCACGAAACATTTACTACATTTTTTTTCTCGTGCTTCTTCTTTTTCATTTTATTCGGGTATGCGCGTAGCCCCAAATCAAAACATTTTATAACATGTTTACATAGCAATATTTTCTACCTCTCTTGCTCTAATAAATAAAAAAAAGCAAAAAACTGTAAACGCACAGAGGCTGTTGTGCCTCTCTTTTACTCGGTCCAACCATTTTCCGCACATTCACAGCCTGTTTTCTCTTGCTCTCTCTCTCTCTCTCTCTCTCTCTCACACACACACACACACATTTTCATCGAGCTTTCTATTTTGTCATGCGAATGATCTGCAACGTTCGACCGCAACCAGGCTAAACTGATCCGAAATGTTTTTCGCTCTGATTTATTTATTTTACTTTTGACAACTCATTTTTATGCATAGACTGAGTCGAAAATCTGTTTGCTGAACTCCAATAAATGGATAAAAATAAACGTTAATTCGTTTCGTTTTGTTTTCTTTTCTTTTTCGTTTGTTTCTATTTTGTTTGCTTTTAATATTTAGACACATTTTTATTTTGCTAAATTGCATATGGAAGTTTTTTTAATAGTTTCACACATGCCACGCCACAACCGTGTGAAAGTGACTGGTTAATAAGGTTCAAAGTTATTAACGAATAAAAAGGCTATAACAATGACAACAACTACAACCAATGATGATGCTGATGATGACGACGACGACCGTGTCTCTTGCACAATAAACGCATCCCATTGTTGATCCATCTTTTTACAATCAAGTAATACTTAATGCATGTAACGCAATAAGTGTAGCATTTTCTTTGTTTCGTGCTTTAATAAATCTGGGAAATTTGGACTTGGTACTCTTTGAGCACGAGAATAGACTGTGTGCTTTTTTATTTATTTTCCGTCATTATGTCTCTATTTCTATCGTCTTCTCTCTCTCGCTCTTTCTTGTCGTGTTCAAGCAAAAAAAAAACATTTTTCACTTGAATAAAATGAATAAAGGAGTCAGCATTAACAAAGAGACGACAACAAAAGATAAGTCGTCATATGAATGGGCATGAAAATGCACATGGTACTGTCGGTCGGTAATTCCAAGTGAAATACACTATTTATTTATTTATTTTTTGTCGTTAAGTTCATATGATTCATAGCTTTTAGATTTGTTCAAATGACGTACAAATGCAATGTGCCATTTTTGTATCTTTCCCGTTCGATCCCATGCAGACAAATGGATTTGTTTGTCATTGCTTTAAGTTGAATTCAAGCGTTTACAATTTTTACTGAATTTATTGCAAGTTTTTATGTTTTGCCACAATCAAAAGGATGTGAGATTACTCTTATATTTGAGCTTCATTGTTGCCTCACTGGTGCAGATAAAAGAGTGAATGAATGAAAAACTCTTGACTTAACCATGAATTGAGGTGGATTTTCATACGTATTTATACAAATAAACATTCAACGATGGTTCATTTAATTTCGTCATTCGGTTGAAACGTGCACCGACCAGATCATTTCATTCGTGGCTGGTTTATTTTTTTTCGCCTCTCATCTCTTCAAATAATGTTTAAATGCCTGAAAGCTCTTGGAAAATGACGGATTCGATTTATTATGAAATGATCTTTTAAACCAATCGACTATGAAATGGTAGCAAAAGTGCTCTGCCATACACTACATATATATGAATTCGTACATTGTTCGATCACATTATTAAATATGATACAATATTTTTAGATTTAATTGAAATTTAAGAAGAAAAAAGAATCGGGTTTAAATGTGCGCATGTTGGCCGCCTCTTTTTCATTTGGTATGTCGAGTGAAGTGAACATTTGAACGATCCGACCACTCGATATATTCCAATGAATAATCAACGTTGTTTTTGCACAGGGATATCTACCCGAGTTGGTTGTTGGTTATGAAGCTCTTGCACACAATTCAATACATTTTGTGTTTTTCTTTACAAACGCTTTTTATCTTAATTAAAAATTTATTGGAAGCCTGTTTTCTTTCAGAGTTAAATTTTATTATTTCTTTTCGTTCATCAATCTATTTTCAATTTTTGATCTGTGATTTTTATTTGTTTTATTTCGATTTGGTTTATTTTTGTGTTTGAGTGATATGTTCTCTCGCTCACTCTCTCTATCTCTCTATCTCTCTCCTCCCTGTCTCGCCTCAATTCTACAGATTGTTTTACTGAAGTTTTTAGCGGTTTTAAGCTTCTGATTAATCCGATCTATGATTTTCAATGTGAAACGGTTCACGAAAGTAAATCGAGGTTGAATGATGACGTGAAGCTCCTATGAATATGATATGTGTGTATATGATGTGGTCACGACCACGGTCATCACCATTGCACAATTCAAAATTCAGTCGATTATTTTCATTCGTTCGATATTGAATAATGTACCAAACCGAATCGATGAATTTCTGCGAAATATTTACGCTAATGCTGAAACATAAAATATACACATATATACGTGAGGCTCACGCCAATTCATCAAAATCATGAATATTTATATTTTTGACTGTTTTTTTTTTCGAATATTGAATGATTTTCAACTGAGAAATTGAATTTCACTTAAATACACATTTCGATTGGCGTATTGTTACGCACGTACACAAAAACAAAGAGAAAGATAGAGAGATAGCGAAAGAGAGACAGGGATAGATGGTGTGAGGGAGAAAGTGAGACATTCGTGCGCCGGTTCTGGTGCGTGCAAAAAGTTCTCATTAAATAAAATAGATTTGCGCTGAAGCGAAAAACAACATTCAGGCTGTAGCAATGTGCAATAATTCGTTGTTTCGCCGCACGAAATTCCTGTTCACACAACAAAAGCATTAATTTACATGATGTAGACAACTAAGTCCACTTTGCGATTGTGAAATTAGCCGCGAATTCAGTAAGCGACGTAGCAAGTCGAGGAAAACTGTGAAAATAATAATATAAAAGAATAAAAAAAAGTGACGAAAAGAAAAGAAAACTTTTGCATTGTTGTTGTTCATATGACCGTATGTTTGAAGCAATATTTCAAGCGATAAAAAAAGAAGAGAAAATGCGCGAAGGAATATTGTCGACGATGGCGTAAAATAAAGCAATATTCGTGTCTTTTTTTCTTTATCTTTTTGACTTCTTTTTTATTTTGTTCTTTGGGTGTGCTTTTTTTCTCATTCGAGCTCCGCTAAATCAGCAAAGTGCTCTTTAAATAACTTTTTTTTTCACTGTTGCCCGTGACGATGAATTTGTATATTTCCCTATGTGTTTTTGATAGAGTTTGTTGATTTTCATCTGATGTGCTACATCATCGTACTAGTTTGCCAAAAATGACAAGGAAATCATCACATAATTCAGTTTTGCAGCGATTGCCATTGCGGCTTACAACAATTATATTCACATTCGGTAATTATATGTTTTTATTATTATTGCTGCTACCACATTTGTTCCGTTTCACCATTCAGCGAGAGTAATGTGTCTCTCTGTCTTCTGTATGCAATTTTTAGCATGACGTTTATTTGCAAGATGAAAGATATGAATTATCACATTATGATCAATTTCATCGCGCTATCGGTGCGAAACCCATCAACACACACGTTTTGATCTGGGGGCGACATTAGCACGCGCCAAACCAATTCGGAGATTCGTAGCAGCGAAAAAACGTGCAAAGTCAGATATCAGTCGATGATTTATTAGATGGGAGTCTCAAGCTTGTTCTATTTATTATTATTTGTCGTAGTTTTTTTTTTTGCATACGTATTTGTGCGATCTTATGAGCTTTATAACCAAATCATATGATCTATGCGCAATTAAATAATATAAACAAAATATATCTATATATTATTATTATTTTTCATATGTAAGTATGGATACTCACTTCCTGAATTATGTAACTTCTTTTAACGGTTTTCCGGACAACGCCAGTTTCCACAATTTCCTCGGCAAATTTATCATCATCGTTGAAGGTATCGGGATTTTCGGTTGGATTTTCGGTGTCAGCCATTTTCGGTGGTTGAGTCTTTGACGTAAATTACACAAAATAACACAAACAAACACAAACACACACACAAAATCCTTTATTTTTAGTGACAACAAATAATCGTTTGGATTTCGAACAATTTCTTGATGACAATTGAATTTTGCTATATACACAGCATGCACTTATTTCTCTTCCGTATCAGATATAAATACCTTTCAAATCACATAAACGTAGCACTCACAGAATTTTTATCGGATATTCAATTCGAAAATCGGTTTTTTTCTCTTCCTTTCCTTCTCTACTTCCAAAACGATCAAAATATTAAACAATTTTTTTCACACCAATTATTTACGCTATTTCAAACACACAATTTCACCTAGTTTTCTATTAACAGGTTGATGTCGAGATGCGAGAAAAAATATATATAATTAAATAAGCAATTTATTCGCAGATAATTGCCACATTGAAATGGATTAAAGCACTTATTAATTTTTCCCCGATTTGATATTTTCACAGAGATTTGGCGCTTGGCTAACGATTTGAAAAAAAATATAGCTACGAATTTCAACGATTGATGGATATATAGATAGCTCTTACGAAAAAAAATAGTATCTCTTTTTTTCTAATTAACTATCTGCACTGTTTGTATGTTTTAGCCTGACTGAACGGATTTCCCAAAAGCAACGACGACGATCGACCGTCGATATGCTCATTTTCTATTGTGACCGAGATGAAGATTTGTTCCCATTGATCGCATAGATCGACACCAACACAACCACAACATTTTATTCAAACGTCGAGAACGTGTGATTTTTTCAAAGCGCCATTCAGCATACATAGGATCTATGACACTGTACACTGTGTATGTATAAGCGCGTTCGATCGAAACAGTGTCTGTATACTGATCCGCGTGCGCCAGTGTATTCATTATTTTTCCTTCGTGGCATATTGGAGGAATAAATGTGTATATGGCGCAGATTATTATATTACTGCAGCAATATTGTTCTATATTTAAATTATATTCATAAAGTATAACATAGTACAATCATCATCATAACGGAAGGAAAAGTGTGAACAAAATACTACTATGTAGTGAATTCATATAGCATTTGTTGTTTGTCGCTCAATCATTTGGCGACATTTACTCGGTCGGACACAATATTGAGAAAATCAAAACAAAACAACATCTTGTGATGGGGAAATTTTCTTTGTGGAAAAAAACAACGACACAGCCACACATACACGCAGACAGTGATTTGTTTTCAAATTCAAATTTTCCGTTCTTTTTTCATCGAATCGATTCTTTTATTTTATTTTTATTTGGAAATGTTTGGTATATGATTACAATCAAAAGGCCCAAAGCCATCTTACAGATCATAATCACGAGATAATAATTTTGAGTTTTTAATAAGTACAGTTTTTAAGTACAATGCCCATGTAAACATACTTCGTTAAAAAGTTGGAAGGCGTTTATGAAAAAATCAGACATTATAATGAGATATTTTAAGCCAGTTGATTCAGCTCAGCCAGATATCGTCAGGAGCTGAAATGGAGTGAAAATAATAAAAGTGATTGTTATAGTGATTGTAGCATTGTAAGTGAAATTATAACCATAACAATCACTTCTATTGTTTTCACTAAATTTTAGCTCCTGACGATATCTGGCTGAGCTGTTTCATCTGGCTGAAAATATCTCATTATAATGTCTGGAAAAAACTCGAATTTTTTCTCACCAACCAATTTAATGTAAACTCATTCGAACAAAGTGAGAGAAAAAACCAAAGTTTTCCGGCACACAGATTGGAGAAATGAGCCCAACAAAAACAACAACAACCATTTTTTTGATGCCATAAATACTAAATGAATACTGTGTATTTCCCGAAGTGTTTTAAGTCTTTTGCGTGTATGCGTGACATTTAATCCTATTTGGATATTTTTGCGGAAAATTTTCAACTTGAAACAAAAACAAAAATATTTTATACTTTACATATACTGATGCATATATGCGAATACATTTCGAATTCATTGTGAACGCAATCGCCTGACAATGTTCAGGACAATGCAAAATTGCGGAAAAATACACATTGTGTCGGACAACGAGCGATAAAAAAAGCCATACATCAGTTGGCGTCATAATCAGATTACGGACCATTTTCCAAATTTTACAAATGTGTGATTGCAAATGCCAATGCCATTAAATGTTTCCGCTTGATGAATCTTTTAAAATTATTTCGAATTTCCTGCCATTGTGATCAAACGGAACGAAACGGACACATTTTTTCCCGCTTATTTATTCATTCTCTACATAAAGAAAATATAGCGACTTATCATATTTTACGTCTTTGGAAATTGTTTGGCGCTTTTTGAAACAACGATCAATTTCACAAAAACGATTTCCATTGTCTCAGAACACACTGTTACTAGAAACATCACATCTTGCCGCATTCAATATTCAGTATGATACAAAAAAAGTCGATTTGCATAAACAACAAAAAGGTTCCAAGCTTGAAAGGTTCACTGTAACATTCAATTTAGACAAAAAAGGAGTTATTAACTATTAATAATATCATTTGGTGAATGAACAGAGAAAAAATCGATTTAATTTGAAAATTACACATGTTTATTGTTTAAGCATTTACCATACTACCGCGTAGTCGTTGTCATTAAAGTTTCTGATCCATTTCAAAAAGATTATTAGTGGCGCAAACAATATTTAATATGAATTCACTCAATTTCAACCACATGCTGTAGCTATTCACATAAACAATAATGTTGAACGACGATGACGATGACGACGATGAACATCGTAGCTGATGATGACGACGACAACGACGACGCTGATGAAGATACGGCAGCATAGAATTTTTACCCGTTTTATTAATAAATCAATCACTGGCATTCAGACCAAAATGAAATGCGCCGTTACATATAAACATCAACATGATTCGTTCAGTATGTTTGATTAATGAACAAAAACAAATTCGCATATGGTTCAGAATGTTATTAAAGAAAAAAAAAAATGTGTAAATAAGTAAAAATGCAAATGATGAGACATAATCTGGAGGAAAATCAAAACAAAACAAAAAATCCGGCGACATAGAGAGGAAGAGACAAAGTGGAGAAAAAATGAGATGTGTAAGCGCATGCGAGTATTTACTATTTGATTCAACAGTTGCTGTGATTAATATATATATATATGTATGTTGCTGTTGTTGTTGACGCGTACGGTCGAAACTGACCTAATCAAAAACAAATAAAAATTAATACAATCAATCGGACTAAAAAACCGAGTGTGCGTAAACACGTTCAAAATTAAAAAAAAATGTTTCATTTTCAAATTAATATACAGGAAAAAAGTGATTTTTCCCAGTACAGAGAAGTTCAAAGACAAGTTTTATACCGAAAATCGCTAAAGCTTCGGTTCCGTCAATGGCAAAAAATGTATAGCAACTGACCCGGGAGAGAAACTTCTTTCCTCTTGAAACATTTCAAATTACCTTTGAGAGTGTGTTAAAATCGTTTTTAACTCTTCAATTTTCGGCGAGACAATTTATTTTAATGCACTCAGCTTTTGAAAAATGTTGACAACCACCAGGATAGCCAAACATCAAAAGCAATGACCATAATATCAAATTGCTATTGATGCGGGACACTTTTTCAAAAAGCTAAAAGCTATGCCAATTGATTCGATTCGATTCGACCATGCTCATAAATTTTTCATCAAGTTGCCAACACGATATGTATCATAACATACTGTCAACATTTATACATCCATATACGAATAGTACACGCACGACCAGAGAGCAACACAAACACCATGAAACCGTATGGAAACCCAACAACAATCTAATCGCATCGAAAGTGAAACATACGCTGTTGCATGTCATGATGCTTAAATATACATTTATACGAATTGGATTCGGTATGAATTGTGTGTCAGTGTCTGCATTGTTGGATGGATAAAGTTGGAGAAGCACACGACTAGAGTTCTAGAGATGGCGATATAAAGAAATTGAAGATATAGTGGAAACGCACAGAACAATCGATTAAAAAGTGAGTGACTGAGAAATATTGAAAGAGAGAGAGAGAGATAGAGAGAGAGAATATGTGTTGTAGACGTACATAATCACAACACAACATATATCGAATGTCTGTTGATGTGATGCTTACGAAAGTTACTGTCTTTCGCTTTCTATACAATATTATTAGTTCCATTATGGATGTTTTTTCGCCAGCTAAACCATATATACGTCTCTATAGGTATATAAATGTGTATATACGTATACACTCTCGTTCGACTTGTTTTGCATGACTGAGTATGGTTTGGTTTTTACTGTGAGTAAGGTTGTGTCGGTTGTCAGTTGAATTTGATCAGTAGCACGGTGCTCACGTACATCTGGGCTGCAAGTGTGTTTTTGTTGTATCCATATAAATTCGATGTGAACAGTTTTTGTTTTGTGTAACAAAAACACAACAATTGAGTAAATCAATTTGCTTGCCATAGAATAATTTAGAAGTTCTCTATCATTTGATTTCTCTAAAATTTCAACGTTTTTTTTTAAATATCATTTCATTTCCGTTCGTTTGCAAGATCATCCCATTTTATTTGATTACGGTTCCGTAAAATATTCATGATTTTTTAAAAAATATATATGTTTCTCTTTAAATTAAGTTCATTTTGAATGCTAAGAAAAATGTTAACATAATTGCTGTGAATTTGAATAGGTGAAAGTTATTCTTGTCACTTCATTTGATGTTTTCTCGTTATTTATGTTTTATTTTCTTCTTTCGTTCATAATTGCAAATAATAATAATAAATAAATAAAAACAAGTTGATTTCGACTGAAAAGTGTTAAAATTGTTTGTGCTCATTTTTCTTTCGTTTGAACAGTTAAACAGTTGGTGGAAAAAAGAAGCCGAGATAAATAAATAAACGCATTGAATTTGTTTTGTCTGTTGTCATTAGAAAATAAACGCATTAACAATCAATTAGAAATGAGTGCCGTTGACGAAATCATCAATTACCAAAGAAGCGCCGATGAAGATTTCTACGGTCTGTTGAATTGTACTGAACAAGCCACCGTAAGTTTGAATATTTGATATATATTGTCTTCAAATTACTTTTTCTTATGTATAATTTCAACAAAATTCAATTTTGTGTTTAAATGAAAAACTTTTCAAAATTGAATTTAACACTTTAATTTGATAAGTTTTGACCGTTTTTTATTTTGTAAATATTTTCGTGGCTAATCGAATATTTACCATGGCATCGAAAAAGTCGGTTGTGATTCAAATATATTGATTTTGGCATCAGTTTGGAATGAGATAAAAGATAGTAATTTGTGCCATCTACAATTATGATGGCATAGAATCGAATCAGTTGCTCTGCTTGTATGTTTCTCTGTGCACGAACGAACATTTAATTTATAGAATTAAATTCTTGTTTTGCTTACATCGAACGTTAAGCATTCGTATATTTTATTTATTACTTTATTTGTAGTGGTTGTTATTGCTGGTGATACTGTGTTTGCTTTTAAGCACCAATACCAACAGTATTGAATCGGAAATGGAGAAGGGAGAATGAAAAAGCTTGTTGTATTCATTATTCAAGGTAAACTACCGAAAGCAGTTTTATTCTAAAGCATATGAATCTCTTTTACATGCGGTCGTTGATTTTAATTTATTTCCGAGTTTATTTCTTGGTCTTATCTTTTGTTTTTTTTTTTTCTTACATAAAACCGTATCACAACCGTTCTATCGATTATGGCGGGCAATCCGTATAATTTGCATCGTTAAATGTGCATTTTCAAAATGAATTCGCCGAGAGAATAGTTTTATCTTTGTAAAAATAAACTTGAGCATAATTTTTGTTTTGCTCGCATAAAACTGTTTGCACAATGTTGCATTTTTAAACCAAACATTCGCTTTTATTACCGTTCAATTTTCGAAAACATAATGTTCATGTGTAGAAACGATTTTGGCGAGAAAAAGAATGCACATTCATTTTCGCTCATATTAAAGTCTCGATAAGTTCACAGAATAACAGCGTAAAGTTTTGGAATGGGTAAAATATGAATCGTTGTGACGAAAGAATATCTATTATTTTTCTCCAAATAATACTGCAACAAGAAGTTTTATTCTTTCACATTGTTTATTCGTTGTGCAAATTTCTGTTGCAGTATTATTTAGAGCAAAGTAAGAGCAACGATTCATTTGTACTAAATGTTATCAAATGTTATTGCGTTTTTTTTTAAAATAATGTTTACATGTATAAACTTTTTCCACTTAAAAATTGTTGTGCAAAATTGACGAGCAAAAGAAAGAAAGAAACAAGATTGAATATTGAAAAATGTTTTTCACATCGTTCAAATTGAATTCGTTTTGCGTTTGGCATAATATTGAAATGGCGTTCTAAACTTTAGAATCGAATGTGAGTTGTTGAAAAGTTCGTTCACAGCAACACAAATGTTAGAAAAAGTGGGAAAAAAGAGATAAAACAAAGATTCTGTTGACAAATAAAGATAAAGGTGTAAAAGACACAGAGATTGTATCTTATTTGTAACGGCGATTAGATCGAAAAATGCTAAAAATAAACGGATTTTACTATTTACTGAAAAAAAAAGCGAAAAGATAGAAAAAGCGAGAGGGGGAGAGAGAGGGAGGATGGACCTAACACCATTCATGTAAACATGCAAATAATTATCTCTGTATGGTTTTGCTTTTAGTATGGGTTAATTTGATGTGTGTTTGAATTACGTTCAGTTCATTGAAAAGCAATCAATAACCTGATAAATGTGTGCATACATAAACGGTAATCGGGTTTGATAAAGAACGGCACCGTATTGCTTATACACAAACATTTCATAATATGTTTCGAAGCGAAATGTGTTCGCCATTCTGGACTTTCCCCGGGGACAATAAAACCGTATTACATAAATTACCTCTTGATGATGGCGGTTTTTCCATATATTGTTCGTCTAATCTTCGTGTACATTTTTTTTATTTCGGGTATTTTTTTTGTACGATTCATTTATATTTGCGGCAGGACAACATCAAACGAAACGCTATCTTTATTCATTTATTTATCAAATGAACAAATATTTATGGATGTATAAAAATGTAAGAGGCCGGCACATGAAATTTATTTATTATTTGGACATTTATAAGGTAATTAAAGAAAGAAAAACACCATACCTTTTACCTTTTTAAACGCCGAATAAGCAGCGATCATGCGTTTGAAAAGCAGTTCTATGCAGCCCAAAAGATATTCTCATCAACATATAAATTCAAAATACAAAAAAATGGATTCAAATTCATCAAAGGAAACTACTGTCTGTTCAATAATATTTTGTAGTCGTAATTCATTCAATTGGCAATGATTGCAAATTTTTTGTTGGCATTTCGAATGATAATTTTTTTCTGTGGCGCATTTTATTTGGAAATCGCATTCCAATGGCTTGTTTTTATCAATATCGTCTGACAATAATGGGATTCCGACGGTGTTTTCAAATAAACGAAAATCTTTATTCTATTTCCATATTCGACCGATGCGTGTTTTGCATTGTCGTAACTGTATATATTTGTTACTTCTTTTCTTTTTTTTGGTACAGTCATGCTATTGCCGTCCGTGCTCCGTTTATTCTTATCAAATGATTCGGCTTTTGTTTTTCCAGGCATGTTCCGACGAACGCGAATGATGAAATCAAGTTAGGGGAAACACACTGAAACCGAACTGAATGATTATTAAAAAAAACTCGATAATATTGTGAGGCTGTGACGTGCAACAAACAAAAAAATGATAGCATCTTCAAACAATGACAACGACGTGTGAAATTTCAAACAAATAAATACACACAAAGAGTCAGGGACAGGCATATAGAAATATTGAGAGCATGTTATTGGAGCATTTGGCCGTGCCATGCCTTTCAATCAAATTTGAGTGACATAGGTTAGTGTAGCAGCGTGGAACGTGAGACATGGAAGTCGTTTCTGGTGAATGTGATTTTCAATATGTTTAACCGTTTTATTTTTCGCTCCTTTTCAACGTTCGTGTTTTTTTTTTTGTTATTGCATAAATTCATCATTTTATCACCGATTTTGAAGTCTTTTATTCTTCGAAAAAACGCCAAACGAATGATTAAATTGAAATCAAATTCCCGTAATAAAATGTTGGCTTCAACTTTTTTCCCCATGTTTATTATTAACACGACACTGGAATATTTTTGTTGTTTATTTTGCGACGGAATATGCTTTTTGCCATTGGCTACAGCGAACGGAGAAAGATTATACCGCTTATTATTTATTGGGTATTTATCAGTTTGCAACATCATAGCAGCAAAAGTAGCAGTAGACATAAAATTACAAACAAAATGAAGAAGAAAAAACGGTAACACCATTATATATCTTATTTACACAAAAATTGCGGCCTATTTATGCGCGAAAAAAAAATATTTACATAGAAAATTGTGAGAGAAATGGTGTCGATGATGTGAGTGCAAAAACCGTTTAAAAATGGGGATGAGTAGAAAAAAAGCGCTGTCGATTTTATTACGTTTGTGCTGTGACAACAATTGTCTACCGTTTCATAGCCATCACTATCTAATGAGGATGTTGACGGAGTCGCTTTTACTTCATTTTCTTTCGGAAACGAATTTATCATATTATGTACGCAAACAATAAAAATGAAATAAAAATCGGGACACGAAAAATAAACAACTTTCTATATTTTCGTGTTATTCGCCACGTAGTTGGAATTTCTTGGATAGATAGAAAAAAATTAAAGGAGATAACGATGACATAAAGAAATCGGAAACGTAAATGGAGTCTATGTCTTGGTTGTTTGATCAACATTTTCAAATATTTATCTACGTGACGTGTATGGTGCGGACTAATTTTGTCCTTGTGATTCATTCCGCATGTGGCTCAGCTACCGCTGTAAGATGTTTTGCTCTAAGTAATTACTTATTTAGTGATTTGATGATATTAATGAACCATAGCTTATAAATCTACATTCATTATCTAAATAGATTTAAATATGATTATATTTCGAAGTCATTTTGTTTCAATTGTTCGTCGTTTCTGACACTATCATCATTAAAACTATATCTGTATGCATGATGTGTCATGATTGTGGCTATGCAATAGAAAAGAAAAAAAAGGAAGTATGTAGTAAGAATGAGTATGCTTTGTGTATCGTACAAAATAGATGAAGTGTTTTTGTCTAATTGCTAGGGTATGCTTTCGGTTCAAAGTGCGCTTTACTTGAATGAAAATGAAATAATGCCGAGTAAGGCCAAATGGAAATGTTTTTTTTAATTCCTTGGCCAAGGTCAACAATTCCATTTTTCCCGCTTCTGGCACGTACCATTCGCTGCCAGCTAACATTGCTTCGTTCCATGTCGAACACTTAATGAGTTCACTCTCACACACACAAAAATCACCGGGAATTTCGCCATTTAGGCATAGCAAGTATGGTGCGCAAAGCTCTTGAAATCTTTAAGTCCAATATAATTGAGTATTATTATTCTAGTGGTTCGTACTGTCGGCTATAAAAGCATTGACAGAATCGACAGCACAATTGTTCCGATATCTGATATGCTACAAATCGAGCTTAATACCTCACAATGGAAAATTCAATCTGCATGAAAATTCATTTCGACTTCGGTTTTTTTTGTAAAAGTTTTTTTTTGCGATTTTCTTTACATTGACATGGACAGTTAGCTCGAATTAATGGATTTCATTTGATATTGCAATCAGTGTATTTTTTTAACAAAGAATTTGATTTAAAAACACAACGAACACTCAGTGGATGGTGGATATATGGAGTCACAAAACATATGTTGGATATTATGCTGGCCACAGTTGTGAATCCTGATTCATGGTGCTCACATTCAACGCAGATTAACATTAAATGGAATTAGAACATGGAACATGCGAAATCTGATTATTTGTACGTTGAAAATGCTGCAAATTGTTGCGAATTTAATCCAATGTCGAGCTCAATGCAGGAATGCATCAAAACGACGAAGGTTGTAGGAGTGTGAGAGTGATGAAGTTGGATGACAGGGAGAGCGAAAATAAAT